GAATGGAGGCCAGGAGAGGGGACTTCCTTGTGTTCTTCCTGAAATCTGGGGGAAGCTTTGTCTTTCATCATAAGTATGATGTTAGCTGTGGCTTTTTTGAAGATACATTTTATCATGTGGAGGAAGTTCTCTTCTATTTCTAGTTTGTTGAGTGATTTTATCATGAAGGGGTGCTGACTTTTGGCAAACATTTTCTCTGCATTTCCTGAGATCATATGGTGTCTGTCCTTTATTTAGACAGTGTCTTTTTTTTTGTGTGTGTATGTGTTTATGTGTGCCAATCCTAGGGCTTGAATGTAGGGCCTGGGTGCTGTCTACAAGCCTCTTTTGCTCAAACCTAACACTCTACTACAAGAGCCATAGCTCTATTTCTAGCTTCTCCTCCTCCTCCTCCACTTCCTCCTCCTCCTTCTCTTCTTCCTCCTCCTCCTCGTCCTCCTCCTTCTTTTAGTAGTTTACTAGAGAAAGACTCTCATGGACTTTATTCCTTTGAGCTGACTTTAGACTGTGATCCTCAGATCTCAGCCTCCCCAGTAGCTAGGATTACAGGTGTGAGTTACCAGTGCCAAACTAGACAACGTCTTACTTTGATTTTTTTTTTTTTGGTTGGTCGTGGGGCTTGATCTCTGAGCTTGGGCGCTGTCCCTGTGCTCTTCAGCTCAAGGCAAGCATTCTACCGCTTGAGCCACAGTGCCACTTCCTGATTAATGTTTATTACTGAACCAACCTTGTATTTCTGGGATAAATCCCACTTGGACATGATGTATAATCTTTTGTTTTCTATGTTGCTTGGCTCTCAGGAATCCCGGCACTCCTTCTTCCTCCTCTCCTGACTCATGAGCCTGAGTCTCTTATTTCTGAACTCTACATGTCTTCTTGCCTCTTCTCTAGTTGACATTATCTCGGAGGACTCATGTAGTATCTATCTTCAAAATATCATGCGAGTACTGGGGCTTGAACTCAGGGCCTTGGTGCTATTACTTAGCTTTTTCATTCAAGGCTGTTGGCTCTACCGCTTGAGTCACAGCTGCACTTATAGCTTCTTGCTGGTTAATTTGGGATAAAAAGGTCATGGACTTCTTCCTGCCTGAGCTAGCTTCAAATTTTGATCCTTAGATTTCAGTCTCCTGGGTAGCTATATTTATAGGTGTAAGCCACCAGCACCTGGCCAAGCATTTCTTTTTATTGCCTCCATTGCCACCACCATCACAGTTGGCTTGGACCACTGCAGTGGTCTCTTCTTCCCCAGTGCCCTGCCTCCACTCTCTGCCAACAGTGTATTTTCAGTGCAGCTTCCAGAGGAAGCCTGTTGAACCCTACAGGAGATCATGTCCCTCCACTGTTCATGGCCCTCCTGTGGCTCCCCCTTTCTCCTAGTAAAATCCATGGTCCTCACGTTGGTCTCCAAGATCTTGTCCAATCAGCCCCCCTTGCTCTTCCCTCTATCATTCTCCTCATTCTTTCTCACATGTATACCAGGTACATTGTGCCTCCAGACCTTTGCAATGGCTGATCAGTGCGTCTTCTTCTACCTATGTGGTTCACTCTCTCACCTTTTCAGATCTGAGCTCAAGTGTCTCCTTGTCAGGCTTACTTAGAAAATCCCATTAAACACTATAAAACAAAACCCAGAAATTTTGTTTGTTTGTTTTCTTTTTTGCCCCACTGGGAACAGAATCCAGGGCTTAGACACACCACTAGCTTTGGGTTTTCTTTTTCTCAGCCTTGAACATATTTTACTTATTCCATTTCCTTTTTCTTTTTTTGGTTGGTCGTGGGGCCTGAACTCTGGGCCTGGGTGCTGTCCCTCAGCTCTTCAGCTTAAGGCTAGCGCTCTACCACTTGAGCCACAGTGCCACTTCTGGCTTTTTCTGCTTATGTGGTGCTGAGGAATCAAACTCAGAGTCTCATGTATGCAAGGCAAGCACTCTACCACTGAGCCACCTTCCCAGCCCCAAACCCCAATATTGGGATTTATTGTTATATTTATTCCTGGGGCTTAAACTCAGGGCTTGGACACTTTTCCTGAGCTTCTTTTTGCTTAAGACTAGCGCTCTACCACTTGAGCCACAGCACTACTTCTGGCTTGTTCATGTGGTGCTGAGGAATCAAACCCAGGGCTTCATGCATGCTATGCAAGCATGCTACCACTAAGCCACATTCCCAGCCCAAATGGTAAATTAATTTTTACTAGTCCTGGGGCTTGATCTCTGAGCCTGGGTACTATCCTTGAGCCTCTGTGCTCAAGGCAAGCATTCTACCGCTTGAGCCACAGTACCACTTCCCAAGCCCTGATATTTCAACACAGGTATACAATGTGTACCAATAAGATCAGAGTAATTTGAGCCAAGCAATGATGGTCTACACCTGTAATCCTAGCTACTCATGAGGTGGAGATCTGAGGATCGTGGTTCAAAGCCAACCCAAACAGAAAAGTCTCATAGACTTTTTTCTTTTTTTATTTGTCGGTTGTGGGGCTTGAACTCTGGGCCTGGGCACTGTCCTTCAACTCTTCAGCTCAAGGCTAGCACCCTACCACTTGAGCTACAATGCCACTTCCGGTTTTCTGGTGGTTTATTGGAGATAGGAGTCTCACGGTCTTTCATGCCCAGGCTGGCTTTGAACCTCGATCCTCAGATCTCAGCCTCCTGAGTAGCTAGGATTACAGGCATGAGCCACCAGCGCCCGGTTTTGTGAGACTTTTCTTTCTTTCTTCCTTTTTTTTTTTTTTTGGTTGGTTGTGGGATCGGGCTTGAAGTCAGGGCCTGAGTAGTGTCCCTGAGCTAATTTCCTCAGGGCTAATACTCTACAACTTGGAGCCACAGCTTCACTTCTGATTTTCTGGTGGTTAATTGGTGATAAGAGTCTCACAGGACTTTCCTGACTGGGATGGCTTTGAACCACGATCCTCAGCTCTCAGCCTTCTGAGTACTTAGGATTACAAGCCTGAGCCACCAGCACCTAGCCCATGAGACTCTTACTTACAATTAACCACCAAAAAGCTGAAAATGGAGCTGTGACTCACATATTTGATCATAAGCCTTGAATGAAAAGCTAAGGGATAGCTGCCAAGCCCTAAGTTCAAGCCCCAGTACTGGTACATGAAAAAAAAGAAAGATCACAGTAATTGGAATACCCATAACCCCTGATGTATATTACTTCTTTGTGTTAGAAGCATTAAAAATTCTACTAGATATTTTGAAATATTCAATTAATTGTCCACCATAGTTATCCTACTGTGCTATAGAATACTGGAAGTTTTTCTGGCTATCCATCCACACCAGTGTGCCCATCAACCATCCCCTCTTCATCCCTTCTTTTCCCCTTTTACTCGTTCTTCTTTCTTTCTTCTTTCATACTAGAATGACAACCCCACAAACAAAAATAGGCTTATTATTTCTATTGTTCAACACTGTCCAATGCACAGAACTGGACACAGTATATAGTACCTGTAATATATACAGTTAGTTAGTTAATTAGTTAGTTAGTTAGTTGACTGAGTAAATGAATGGTGTGGTGGTGGTAGAGGGGGACAGAAACAGAAGAAACTTGGCCTTGTCCTACCTACACTGTCAGGAGCTGAGCTTTAATTGGGACAAATGTAGGCCTATCAGACTTCAAAGGAGAAGGTACTAGATATCCTGAGGTAACACCTGAGAAGGCTGTCAGGAGGGGTCTGGTTAGGGCTGCTCCTGGAAGATCTAATAAGAACTGGAGAGATCCTGGGATTTAGTGAGGCCCAGCAGGTGGAAGAAACAGCAGCCGGTAAGTAAAGGAGGTAAAAAGCTGGGTGCTGGTGGCTCATGCCTGTAATCCTAATTATTCATGAGGCTGGGATTTGAGTACCATGGTTCAGAGCCACTCAGGCAAAAATGTTTGATAGACTATCTCCAACTAGCAAAAAGCTGTAACCAGCAAAAAGCAGGATTGGAGACATGGCTCAAGTGGTAGAATATCAGCCTACACAAAAGCTCAGGGACATGTCCAGATCCTGAGTTCAAGCCCCATGACAAAAAAAAAGCTAAGCTGGGCACTGGTGGCTCATGCCTGTAATCCTAGCTACTCAAGAGGCTGAGATCTGAGGATCGTGGTTCAAAGGCAGCCCAAACAGAAAAGTCTGTACTCTTTTTTTTTGGGGGGGGGTCTGGTCGTGTGCCTGAATCCTGGGCCTGGGCTCTGTCCCTCAGCTTTTCAGCTCAAGGCTAGCGCTCTATCACTTGAGCCACAGCGCCACTTCCGGCTTTTTTTTCCTGCTTATGTGGTGCTGAGGGATCGAACCCAGGGCCTCATGCATGCAAGGCAAGCGCTCTACCACTGAGCCACCTTCCTAGCCCCCAGTCTGTACTCTTATCTCTAATTAACCACCAGAAAACTGGTAGTGGCGCTGTGGCTCAAATAGTAGAGTGCTAGCCTTGAGCTGAAGAGCTGAGGGACAGTGCCCAGACCCAGATTTCAAGCCCCACGATCGACAAATAAATAAATAAATAAAATAAAATAAAAAGAAAGAAGCTGAGTGCCAGTAGCTCACGCTTACAATCCTAGCTACTCAGGAGGCTGAGATCTGAGGATCATGGTTCAAAGCCAGCCCGGGCAGGAAAGTTCGTGAGACTCTTAGCTCCAATAAACCACCAGAAAACTGGAAGTGGCGCTGTGGCTCAAGTGGCAGAGTGCTAGCCTTGAGCTGAAGAGCTGAGGGACAGCTCCCAGGACTAGAGTTCAAACCCCACGACCAACAAAAAAGAAAGAAAGAAAAAGGAAACTAGTCACAAGACACTGTGTTGGAAATGAACTTTACAACTTGGGAGGGGAGTGGGGGGAATTCGGAGAAAACAAGAAAGGGGGTAAGGTAACACTGTTCAACAAGTAATGTAATCATTACCTTACTTACTTATGTAACTGTAACTTATTTAACTGTACATCACCTTTGCAATAAAATAGACAACTGATGCCCTAGACAAGCTCCCAGAGACAATGCTGAGGCCACAGGAATGATAAGTTCATATGGAAGGATTATTCATTTATTGGAGTAGCCTGGATTGGCCATCGGGACACATTGATTTATTTGGTCCCAAATTTATCTCAGGTCCCTCTTGCAGGATGTGTGAAGTGTCAGAATCCATAATCATTGGAGGTCTTCAAGAAGGAAGGCTGAGGATGAGGAATGGAATGGAAGAGTGCCAACATCCATCATGAGGTGATATAGTTAGACACCTCAATTAGATTTCTGTCTGGGTCTCGGAAGTAGATGGACATAATAGGCCCCTTTGCTCCTGTCCTGGAAACTGGACCCTCCTCAATGGGAACATCCCATGCCTAAGGTGGACAGAGAAAACAAAGGCCATCTGTTAGAGTCCATATGTGATACTCAATTTTATTTTATTGGTGTTGTTCCTGGGGCTTGAACACAGGGCATGTCCCTCAAGTTTCTGCTCTAAGCAAACACTCTACCACTTGAGCCACAGCTCCACTTCCAGCTCTTTTGGTAGTTTATTGGAGCTAAGAGTCTCACAAGCCAGGAACTGATGGCTCACGTCTATAATCCTAGCTACTCAGGAGGCTGAGATCTGAGGATCACAGTTCAAAGCCAGCCCAAGCAGGAAAGTCCCTGAGACTCTTATCTCCTATTAACCATCAAAAAACCGGAAGTGGTACTGTGGCTCAAGTGGTAGAACACTAGCCTTGAGTTGAAGAGCCAATGGATAGCTCCCAGGCCCAGAGTTCAAGCCCCATGACTGACAAAAAAAAAGTCTCACAGATTTTCCTGCCCAGGCTGAGTAATCCCCAGATCTCAGCCTCCTGACTGAAGATTACAAGTATGAGCTTATAATTAATCCCTAACAGTGGCCTAGCAATCCCTAAAACATTCTGTATCTTTCTGACATTAATTCTTTCTCCAGCACATTGTTCAAGATGTTTGGTCTTGGCGGGGGAGAGGGGAGTGTAGTTGAGGTGGGAGGGAAGGGATGGTAGGGAAAAAACCAAGGAGGAGGCAACAATGCTATATAAGAAATGTACTCGGGCTGGGAAGGTGGCTCAGTGGTAGAGCGTTTACCTTGCATGCCTGATGTCCTGGGTTCGATTCCTCAGCACCACATAAGAAAAAAGCCGGAAGTGGTGCTGTGGCTCAAGTGGAAGAGCACTAGCCTTGAGCTGAAGAGCTGAGGGACAGCGCCCAAGCCCAGAGTTCAGGCCCCATGTCTGGACCCCCAAAAAAAAGAAATGTACTCATTACCTTGCTCATGTAACTCTAACCCCTTCTGTACAGTATTTTTACAATAACAAAACTTATTAAATAAAAAGACGGATGGTCTTGGGAAAAGTACCTAACTCCCTGGTATCTCAGTTTTTTGGTCTATAATATGTACAGGGGAGCTGGGCACCGGTGGCTCACGCCTAAAGCTACTCAGGAGGCTGAGATCTGAGGATCTCAGTTCAAAGCCAGCCCATGCAGAAAATCCATGAAACTCTTATCTCCAATTAACCAGCAAAAAGATAGAAATGGAGCTATGACTTAAGTGGTAGAGAGCCAACCTTGAGTGAAAAAAGCTAAGGGAGAGCACCCTGGCCTTGAGTTCAAGCCCCAACATCAGGCTACCACATAAAACATGCATTTAATATGAAAGAATGTAAGTATAATTTTTTACAAGGGTCATGTAAAGGTTCATTTATGTTGTTTTTGTTTAGTGCTGATGATAGAACCCACGGCCTTGCTAAGGCAAGTGCTCAACCACTGAGCTATATTCCCAGCCAAGTTTCCTTTTTTTTGCCAGTCCTGGGGCTTAAACTCAGGGATTGAGCACTGTCCTTGAGTTTTTTTGCTCAAGGCTACTGCTCTACTACTTGAGCCACAGCTCCACTTCTGGCCTTTTTGGTGCTCAATTGTAGATGAGAGTTTCATGGACTTTCCTGCCCAACCTGGCTTTGAACCGTAAACCTTACATTTCAGTCTCCTGAATAGCTAGGATTACAGGTATGAACCACCAGCGATGGTTAAGTTTCCTCCTTAAATCCATTTGGTTGTGAGAACAAGATATACATGACTCATACTAATGGGTAGATAATTGTGTTCAGGCATCATACGGATTGATGGAATCTGTCTCACGTGAGGATTGAGGAAGACCTCTCTGGGTCATGTTTCCTGTTATCCCAGCACATGAAGAAACTTTCAGGAGTGATGTCCCACTCACCTTGAGATGCACAATCAACTCCTCCAAAGGCACATCTGTGATCAGACATATATCCAGGGAGCCAGGAACTGGGTGAGCAGCTTTAGGTTCAAATTCCTTTCCTACCTCATGTAGGTTAAATTTCTGATCTCCAAAACACAGAGCTTTCCGGTCTCCCTATTTGAGGGAGAGAATGTGACCTAGATGAGAGTGATCATAAGCCCTCACCCAGCCTAAAGATGATTTGTAAACTGCAGAGCAGGACTACTAAACAATGGCCCCTTCCCCACCCAAGACTTAGCCTAGAGACAACTGCATTCAAAGCCGAGTACAAGCTTCTCAAAGTCTCCTACCCCCAAACAGTATGTTTATACTCCACCCAAGGCAGAGATAGCAATTGGTCTACCTAAAATATATCTCCCCCTTGTTCCTATTACTCTGTCTCCCTCCCTCTTTCCTTCCCTCCCTGTACTGAGGCTTGAACTCAGGGCTTCACACTCTTGCTTAACTTTGTTGGCTCAAAGCTCGTGTTCTACCACTTGAGCCACAGTTCCACTTCCAGCTTTTTGATGATTAATTGGAGATAAAATTCTCAGGGACTTTCATGCCTGAGCTGGCTGTGAACCTAGATCCTCAGATCTCAGTCTCCTGAGTAGCTAGAATTACAGGCGTGAGCCACTGGCATTCTGCTGGCTTCCAGTCTTGATCCTCAAATAGCCTCCTGAGTAGCTGGCATAAGCCACCAGTGCCCAGTGTTTTTCTACTTCTTCTTCCTCTTCTTCTTCTTCCTCTTCTTCTTCTTCCTCTCTTCTTCTTCTTCTTCTTCTTCTTCTTCTTCTTCTTCTTCTTTTCTTCTTCTTCTTCTTCTCCTCCTCCTCTTCCTCCTCCTCCTCCTCCTCTTCTTCTTCTTCTTCTTCTTTCTTTTTTTTTTGTCGGTTGTGGGGCCTAAACTCTGGGTCTGAGTGCTGTCTCTCACCTCTTCAGCTCAAGGCTAGCGCTCTACCACTTGAGCCATAGCACCACTTCCAGCTTTTCCTGCTTATGTGGTGCTGAACAATTGAACCCAGGGCCTCATGCATACAAGGCAAGCACTCTACCACTGAGCCACCTTCCCAGCCCCAGCGTTTTCTATTAATTAATTAATGTGTGTATGCTGATACTGGAGCTTGAACACTGGGACTAGTGCTCTCACTTGGCTTCCCCCACCCCCAAGGCTGGTGCACTACCACTTGAGCCACATCTCCACTTCCCACTTTCTACTGGCTAGCTGAAGATATGAATCTTACTGAATTTTTCTGTGATTGATTAGAGATGACAGCCTATTTCTCTGCCCCAGCTGGCTTCAAACCTCAGATCTCAGCCTCCAGAGTAGCTAGGATTATAAGCATGAGCCACCAGTGCTGGCTTTATTGTTTTTCAAGGTAGGTCTCATTGTTTTGCCCAGGATGATCCAGAAATCCCAGGCTTTAATGATTATCCTTCCTCAATTCTTAGTATAGTTCCCTTTTTTCCTTACAACTCAAATTTTAGTAGAACCAACTGTGTACCCACCTTTAAAAATTACATTTTAGTGGGGGGGAGAGGGAAAGAGGGAGAAAACTGAGGGAGGGGTAACAAATTAGACAAGAAATGTACTCACTACCTTACTTATGTAACTGTAACCCCTCTGTACATTATCTCAACAATAAAATTAAATTTTTAAAATTACACTTTAAGCAGGGCATGGTAGTACTCAGAATTACAGGAATAATCCCAATACACAAAAGGCTGAAGCCGGAGCCTCTAGAGTTCTAGCTTAGCCTGAAATGCACAGTGAGACTGTATATAAAAAAATAATCCAGGGCTCAGTGTGGTGATACTTACCTGTAAACTAGCCAATTACAAGGTTGAGACTTGGAGGATTGAAGTTTGAAGCCAGACAAGGAAGAAAAGTCTGAGAGACTCCATTTCCAAAATAACCAGCAAAAGACAAGGCTGGTAGCATGGCTTAAGTGGTAGAGCGCCAACCAAGCAAACAAAGCCAAAGAGCATTGAGGCCTTGGGTTCAAGCCAAAGAAGTTTGAGGCTGAGCATGATGATTTATACCTGTAATATCAGTTACTCCAGAGGTAGAGATAGGGAGGATCATGGTTTGAAGATAACCCTGGGCAAAAATCTAGAAAGACTGACTGAAAAATAACTAAAAAAGGGCTCAGATGAGGAACATAGCTCAAATCTTAGAGCACCTGCCCAGCAGGCAAGAGGACCTGAGTTGTAATCTCAGTACCATAAAAATCAAGCCAGGTGCTGGTGGCTCTGGCCTGTGATCCTAGCTACTCAGGAGGCTGAGATCTGAGGATCACAGTTCAGAGCCAGCCTGGGCAGGGAAATATGTGAGAACGTTATCTCCAATCAATCACAGAAAAAGCTGGGAATGGTGCTGTAGCTCAAGTGGTAGAGTTCTGTTCTTGAGCAAAAGAAGCTTAGGGACAGTGCCCAGGCCCAGAGTTCAAGGCCTAGGACCAGCAAAAAACAAAAAAACTCATACAAGCAGGGCACTGGTGCCTCATGCCTGTAATCCTAACTACTCAGGAGACACGCACGCACACACACACAAACATACATACAGGGACTTTTCTGGCTTCAAATTGAGATTCTCAGACCTCATCCCCTTAGTAGCTAGGGTTACAGGCATTAACCACCACAAGGGGCTTCTTTCTCTTTACCACTGCAGGTTAATCCCATATTCATTGTATCAGCAAAAGATTTAATTTCACTTTGAAACTTGAATGATAATTGGGCCTAGCACACAATTCTAATTGGAGGGTTCTTTGTTGTGACGTTTCTTAGTGGGAGAGTGCTTGCTTAGCATGAATGAGTTTGTCCCCCCGCCCCGCCATTCCTGGCACCACCAAAGAAATAAAATTTAAAACAACTCAGCAAACAAGTTCATTGTCTTACATGAATGTGGTGGTGCCAATAAGAAATCTGCTGGGAATCTGTTTCATTCTTTTGTCAGCAATATATCTACCTAGCACCCCTAACCCTTTTAGAATTTTTCTTTCTTTCTTTTTTGTCGGTTGTGGGACTTGAACTCTGGGCTTGGGCACTGTCCCTCAGCTCTTCAGCTCAAGGCTAGCACTCTACCACTTCAGCCACAGCGCCATTTCGTTTTTTTTTTCTGCTTATGTGGTGCTGAGGAATCGAACCCAAAGCCTCATGCATGCAAGGCAAGCGTTCTACCACTGAGCCACCTTCCCAGCCCCTAGAATTTTTCTTAATCCTAAATGCTTAAAAATTTCATTCTAACGTGAAGTATAGAAAATTGAGGTGTGTGTGTGTGTGTGTGTGTGTGTGTGTGTGTGTGTGTGTGTGTGTGTGTGTGTGTG